AGTAAGCCGCCACCACGGCCAAAGGATCAGCTGCCGCAAGATGGAGCATCCAGAGGCTTAACACCAGATGGGGGTGTATACTCATCGGGCCTTACAAAAGGGGGCTTACCGGACGAGGGTTCATACTCGTCAAACCAGATGGGGGTTCGTATTCATCAGCCGAAGGGGTCAGCTACCGTCAGAAGGAGCATCCCGGAAGCGCACAACATTTCCCAGAGGATCATCCACCGCAAAGACGGAGCATCCGAAGGGTAACCGGGCAAGAGGGTCAACTCCTTTACCTTCCTGTCAATCTGTCTGGCACAAACAAGCCAACAGCCGACTAGTCAGGTAAAGGGGGGGCAGCTGTAGACCCCAAATCTTGCCCGACCTCCAAATAAAGAGTAAAAGACCTCTTATTCGAAGATGGACGAAGTCTAACAAGCCACTAGGAGAGACTATTAGGCCCCATACTAGGATAGGAGGGATTTTCGACACGAAAATAAGGTTTCTCGCCTTTTTGGGGACGAGACCGCCATCTCGAAATCGAGACCGCCGTCTCGCCTCATGCAAGTGGCGAGACCACCATCTTGTTCGGCGAGACGGCGGTCTCGCCACCTGTGAATGGCGAGACGGCAGTCTCGCTTTCCTGGACGGCGGTCTCGCCACCTGCGAAAGGCGAGACGGCAGTCTCGTTTGGCGAGACGGCGGTCTCGCCACCCTGGCAAGACGAGACGGCGGTCTCGACCTGTCAGGCGCGAAAAACTATAAATAGGGGGCTCTCTTCCCTCATTTCCACACACCACATAGAGTTTCTCCTCCTTCTCTCTAGAAATCACCTAAGTTTCTCTCTCTAGAATCCCTCCGACGCATTTCCGGAGCTTCTGAGTGTTTCTGTGAGTGTTTTTCGGCGTTTCGAGAAATTTTCGACGCTGTAGAGTGAAGGGCTGCCGCAAAGCACCCTAAGTTTTAGAGAATTAATATAAAAGCGTGCTTCGGAGGTTTATATTCTCCCTCTCTACTTTTATCGCTTTAATTTTAAATTATGCAATAGATACTAGGGCCATGTAATCGTAATTTTAAATTCCGTAGAATAAAAGGGTAAAAGTGTAATTTTCATCGATTTAAATATTTTTAAATAGCCGGCCTGTCATAGGGAACCCGAAAGGGGCGTCGTAAAGGAACTAACACTTCCTTTACACATAACTAACTCCCTTACCCAACTCTGGTTCTAACGACCAAAGTTGGTTTTTCAAAAAACCAACGCCTTTTAACTCCTTTTCCGATGTTTCCGGTAAAAACATCGGTGGTGACTCCACAGAACCCTTCAAAACTAGCTTTTGGATTAGCCCGGTTATCGGACAATCCAAGAACGCCTTTTTGAAAACCTCGCCCCTAGGTTCAGCTTGGTTATTGGACAACCTAAAGGCGTTGTAACCACCAAAACGCGAAAATCAAGAGGGTCAAAACCATCGCGTCGCTCTGACCGCCTCTTTTTTACGGCGGCGACAATGGATATTTTCAAGCATTTACAAATTAATATTCCATTTATGGAAGCTATGGAGCAGATGCCAACTTATGCAAAATTCATGAAATAGTTGTTAACTAAGAAAAGGAGATTTACTGTAGAAATAGTGGAGCTAGAAGCAGGATGCATGCTATAATTCAGAAATCATTACCTCAAAAGTCCAAGGATCCTGACGGTTTCACTATACCAGTCACAATTGGGACATTACAAGTAGGTAAGACATTACTTGATTTAGGTGCTAGTATAAATCTAATGTCTTTGTCCATGCTTAAAAGGATACGAGACTTGGAAGTAAAACCTACAAGAATGACACTGCAGTTAGATGACAGATCTCTAAAATTCCCTTATGGTGTGGCGGAGGATGTTTTGGTCAGAGTTGATAAATTTATGTTTCCAGTTGATTTTGTTGTGATGGATATGAAGGAAGACACTGAAGTTCCTCTTATATTGGGAAGACCATTTATGAAGACTGTCAAAGTAATTATAGATGTTGACATGGGCAAGTTGAAAATTAGAAGTAGAGATGATGAAGTTAATTTTAATCTGTTTGAAGCAGTACAACAACCGGAAGACAAGAAAGATTACCTCAGAATAGATACTTTGGAGGAATTACCCATCTCAAATGAAAAATAAGATTACAAGCCTATTGCACAACTCCAAAGACATCTTAATCTGACTATGAAGGAAGTTGTTCAAAGAAAGGTACTGAAACCTCTTGAAGCAGGTATGATTTATCCAATCTCTGACAGTCGTAAGGTTATTCGCAATGAAAAGAATAAATTCATTCCTACAAGGACAGTCAAGGGATGGAGAATGCGTATAGATCACCTTGATCACTCACCTGCATGAGCCCGAAAGCAAATAGGCGTCGACCTAAAGACGTTAAACAAGTGCTCATGGGAGGCAACCCAATGTTTTGAATTTTTTTTCTTTTTACAGTTTAAGTTTTTTGTGCATTTTTCTTTCTTAGATTCTTTCTTTACAAAATTGCTCCAGGTACATAGTGAACTTCTCCTCAAGACTTTGAAGCCTTACTTCAATGGCCTGGGGACAGTCCAACTTTTCCAGAGGGGGTGAGAAAGTCTACAGTTGAGGCTGAGACACAAGATAAGGAGGAGATGACAAGTGAAGAAAATGAGGGAGGAAACTTATTTTGTTTTTAATGTTTTTAATTCCTTTGTTTTTAATTGCTTTATTTTAAATTTTGAATTCCCTTGTTGTCCCATAATTTGGTGTAGAGCCATATATGAGATTATTGCTTATTGTCTAATTCAAATCTGGAACGTGAAAAATCATTTTGATTGCTTCCAATAACAAGTGATTTTGGGATGATGAGTATGATAGTGAAAAGGAATTGATGAGGAGAATTAGGAATTAACTGAATTGGAAAAGCTAGTCAAAACCCAGGTGAGTAGAGAACCAAAAATAGATAAATTGAGTGTCAACACTTTGTGATGATAACTGATATTGGTTGATTCTTTGATGTGATTGCATGTTGGTGAGACTTGAAAATGATAAAGACATTTTTTTCTTTGTAGTAGATATAACTCAGAGCCAAATAGCCAACCCTGCATTAATTATAGGACATCCATTTGAACCCCTTATGAGGCAAAAATAATATTGTTCCTTAAACAGAACCCCTAAGCCTAAACATTATTTATCTACCTTCCTATATTTGAGAAAGGAAATGAGTATGAATGTCACTATTTTTCCTATTGTTGGGTATTGCTATTGTTGTCCTACGGGTATTATTCAGGTGTTTTTCTAAAAAAAAAAGTGTAAAGGAAAAGCAAAACTTAAAAATTATGGTAAATCCAAAAAGGATACATGCAAAAGCATGAAAAAAAAGGAAACAAGTCAAAAGGGGGGAATAATAACTTGTGAGATTATTAACTCACTATCATTATTATTAGGGACAAAAGCATGAAGTTTGAAACCTGACTTGAGGAAATGTTAATCAAGAATCATTCATATGAGTTGAATTTCTCAAATACTTTTGTATATCCCAGAAAAACCAATGAATTCTTTCTTAGCCCAGCCACATTACAAGCCTCAAAATACCTTTTGATTTAAGTCTTGCTTAACAAATGTTGATTGCTTAAAGATGATTATCAATATTGGATTGTCTAAATGAAGTGATTGAATGAGATAAACACTTACCCGTGAGAGTTAGAGATGATTATATATCACTCTATTTGAGAGATTATGCTTCTCTGAGGATAGTTGAGGACTACTTATTCTTTGTTAGTTTTTGTAACTTTAATGTTTATGTATTCTATTTTCATTTGGAGTTGTGAGCATCACATCTAAAAATTTTTTTTGTTGTGGTTTTGGAAGAGAAAGTGATAATAGGCGATGGTTTTGTTTTGGAAAAATTACTTTGCTTGGGACAAACAAGATTCTAAGTTGGGGGGAGTTATTAAGTGGTAAAAAGTTGATATAATTATACTTTGAATTGTTATGAAATCACTTAACTTATATTAATTTTAATCTATTTTTCTCCCAATATAGGATGAATTCGATAATACCTTGATACAAGAGCAAAGATCATAATTGTGAAGTAATTGAAGAAAAATTGAAAGAAATAAGAATGCTTAAGCAAATGAATGATGCGAGGCTCAACCCAAATTCTCTTATAAAAAGATAAGATGTGTTTTGAGAAAGGAGGCGGTTTTGGAGGAGAAGAGGTGCGACTACTGCTAGGGTTTCGTCCAATCTTCATCAATTTTTCACTTATTCCACATTTGGAGCATTGTAATGGCCAACATGAGTGGCTAACTTCATTCTCTTAGGATTCGGTGCACTTCCTTTGAACTTTTTTGTATCATGGTGATATTTTGAGATATTAATCCATGCTTTGATGTTGTTATTCTTATCCTTTATGCTTTGGAATGATTTATTCTTGATGTTTGAGGTATGATTGAAAAATATATCTTGAACCCTAGATCGCGGTAAGAATATTTGTTACATTAATTGCCAGGAATAGAATGAATGTATCAATTGCTTAACACCCTAAACCTAATGTTGGAAAATCTCTTAATTGTTTGAGGAATCAACATTTATTAGGTTTTCTTATGAATTTCATGTGTGAGGAATCAACATGGATGATTTGAGTAGGTGACATCAACATTGTTAGGTTAATTGACGTTCTTAATTGATATAGCCATTACAAAAGAGGGATAAGGAAGAAAACTAATCCTAAGTACCTTTAATTGATATTTTCTCAACAATCTACAGTTCTTTGTCATTTAATTTCAATTCAACTCTTATTGCAAAACCCAATCTGTTTTAATTTACTTAGTAAGCATAAAATTGGGAATTTCCATTAAAACCGTTCTTCGTGGGATCGACTTTTATTTAATCGAAATACTATACTGCGATTGATAATTTTGGTACGCTTGCCAATTATTCAACAGATGGTCATATGAGTGAAGACACTGAGGAGAGAAGAAAAAAAGATCAAAAGAGAATAATGTTATAGAAAGAAAGAGACCTACATACCTGGTGCAGTGACACCCAATCTTGAGAGGCTAAGGAATTTGAATGCTAATCTTACTGCACTCTTTACAAACCCAACAACAGAAGTGGCATGCTTTCCTTCCTCATAATAAGATTCTAACTCAATACTCACTGAAATAATAATACCACCCAACTCATGACTTAATATAATATAAAAAATTAAATATACCTAAGTTTAGTTGAAATGATTAAGAGTTGAATCCTCTATTTATATTTTCAAGTCTACTACGAATTTTTTATCGATTCTTTTTCATACATAAATCAGAATTGCAATGGTATATTTAAATACTGAAAATAAAAAATCTTAGTATTATCTTTCTATAATCTAAAATATTAACTCCCATAATCAAATAAATAATAATGGTACATGATATAATAGTATCAACAAAATTAAAATGTCTCAACAAACTTTTAAACTAATTATCATATTATTAATTTTATCTAATAAAACTTTTCCGTAAAATTAATTCTCTCTACAACAAAAATTGAGATTGACTTGACCAATTTCCCGACCTCTTGACTTGTCGTATTCAAATTTTTGAGTTCCCAACTTAGATGACTTGTCAATTTGTCAAACATTCGGGTTTAAAACACCCAAATTCCTTTCATTCTTCATTTTGATAAGTTTCTTGTTATCCTCAAATAACAAAATAGGTAGTAATTTTGTGAAAATATCAATAACTTGATCTCGACTTGCTACATGTACGAGCCCCACATTCCCATCCTGCACATGTTATAGGATGAAGTGAAAATGCACATCAATGTACTTATTTCTCTCATGATTGATAGGACTATTCGTCAATTAAATGACCGACTTGTTATCGACTCGGTTTACGATTGCACTGAGTTGTTTCTCGTGCACCGAACTTAGCAAGTTTTTGAGCCACACTACATGGAACACACTCCACAATGTTGGTACGTACTCGACTTTACAAGTTAACAATGTTACTATGAGTTGCTTTATATCTTTGCAACCAATCGAGCTTTGTACCTCTTTATCTCTCCTTATGCATTAAGTTTCTTCTTGAACACCCATTTCATGCTAATAGGTCGAACATTGTTCGGTAGCTCTGTCATTGCCCAAGTTTTATTTCAATCAATGGCATGGATCTCATTATCCATGGTAGCTCGCCACTTCTCATCAATATCAACTCGGATCTTCTCTTCAATGTCATCTCGGATCTTCTCTTCAATGTCAACTCAGATCTTCTCTTCAATATCAACTCGAACCTTCTCGTCTACAATAGCTTGAACCTTCTTGTCCACAACAGCTCGGATATGGTCACTTTGGAATCTACTATTCAGATTTAACTCAGATTTTTATCGCCGAATTCGTGTGACTTGACTATCGTTCTTGTACTCCTTCTCCAACTCATCCACACTTCGATTGTCAATGTAGTTCCTGCAAACTTCTCAAAATCGAGATCTTCTACAACTCCAAAATGTAAACAGAGTTGCATAATTCTTCGAATGTTCCTCTTTTAATGTCTTGAGAGCGGAGGACATTCATCCTTCTGTTGTTTCTGGTTCTTCAAAACCTTTCTCTACTATTTTCTAACAATCTTGGGCTTTGTAGAGAGTTTTTATCTGAACACTTCATCTACCGACGTCCTTCGTCAGTCGGGATATAATTGTAATATTCGTCATACCGGTCATTCTTACTCTTATGAAAAATTGTAGTTTTTGATACTAAGTTGATAACAAAAAATTTCTCAAAACTCATTTTTATGAATTATTTGTCATACATAAATCAGAATTACAATTATGTATTTAAACACGACAAAAAAAAAAATCCTAGTAATATCTTTATAAGAATCCAAAATATTAACTCCCATAATCAACTAATAATGGTTCATGATATTAACACTATCAACAATTAAAATGTCAAGTGTTGCAACATTAAAGGAACTAATAAATTTTATTACTATTCATTCATAAATCTATATAATTTAAAATAAAAAGGTAATTTTAACATTCTGAGATTTAAACGGAAGTTTACCACCGGGTTCGGGGTCTTCATACTTTCCAACATCGAGTGGTCCGACATACATACCTTTGACATGAAAAATAATAGAAATAATCTTAGACGTGTATTTGGTAAATACCATAACTCAATTAAATATTATTTTGTTCTTCCAATATTCAAGTCTTATAAGGTTCTATTTTTTTTGCTTAATTATATGTTTGATTAGTTTACATTATTATGCATATGTTTTTTCTTACCTATATTCTTTTACTTAACTGAGTATATTTATTTTTAAATTTTTGAAAATTTAGTTTTCATGTAAATATTTCTATTTAAAAAAATTATTTTAAAAAAGTTTATTTGAGGGTTAATATGAAATTGATAAATGAATATCATTTTAAAAGTTTATAAATATGAAATTTAATATATGATTAAAAAACCTTATGAGATGAATCACCACACAACACTTACAACAGTATAGAATTCGCTTCCACCATGGGAGATTGCTTCCACTCTGGAAGGCTGAAGGTTTGCTGGCAAGAATTTTGAGAGGTGCGTCTCCAACTTCGTTTCTTGTGTCCACAAGCTCAGGATAACAATGAGTTATTAAAATTGCCAAATCTATCCATCACACATAGAAATCATTAACAAGTAATTATCTTGTATTCAAAATTTTGTACTGCATACATATTGTTATTTTTAAATTTAAAATAGTGACATGAGAAATTCATAAGGTTTACTCACACAAACAATTCGAACCACCCCTATCTATATTCACTCTAAGAACAAGGAATTCACTCTTAAACACAACAACAACATCAATTAATTCTTTCATAATAAATTAACACACAAATTCAAACGATTCTTATGTGCTTAAATATGTCCTAAATTAAGATAGAATAATTTAATTAATTCAGTAATTGAAACGGATTATTAAACTAGATTTACACAATTGAAACGGATATGAATTTCCATTGCATTTACAACATATATGCAAATTTAAAATAGCTAGTTTGTATCAATAATAAAAGAGTGGTGATATTTTGACAATCAAAAATTATATAACCCTTCAAACAACTCACTTTTATTAATATAATAATCTATAAAATGATTGAATAAAAATAAAAATTAAAACAAAACTATTATTATAATATTAAAAGAGAGTTATTTATAGAAGTTCCATGGATTTGGGTTTTCAAAGTATCATTTTCCATAATAAAATTATGTGGATGAATATGGAATTAAAAACTTTCTTACCCAAGAATTCTCTCCGAATGGCTTGGTGAAGGATGGTATCCCCGTGATAGTTCCTAAGAGTAACATCTAACTCTTTGGAAACATTGTTAAGGTACACAAAGGTCTCTGTTTCGCCTGCAAGCAAGGTGCAAAGGAGTGTCCCCTCTCTCATTCCGAATTCATTCCTTTCCTTATTTTCCCCAATGATGCACTTACACATGGGAATGAACCCTCTTGAGGCAGCAAGGTGCAAAGGAGTGTCCCCTCTCTCATTGGTTGATCTCAGTGCACTATCACTCCTCACCCCTTCCCTCCCTTCATGGCTCAAGATTGCTTCAACAAGATTATTAACAAACCTCACGTTCCCATCATTCACTGCCACATGTAGTGCAGTGCCTCTTCCCTCGTTGATTTTGATTTTGTGGCAGTCACTGTCGCTTATATATAAAGCAAGAACGCTCAGCCATTTTCCTTCCAACACCCACTCTCGGAACAGTGAGCTATGATCCATATCTGTATCATCTGTTCCGGATTGAGTTATCAAACACTTAGAATATGACGAGCTAAGCCATACCGAAAGCATAAAAATAGTATTTATGTACTGAATCAACACTTAATTCATGATTTTTTTAGTTGTAACACTTGATTTTATCATATATCTTACAAAATATACGAAAATATTATGATATGGTTTGTTTAAAAGCTGCTATATATAAAGATTTAATTTGCTCATTGGATAACAAGATAGTCGAGAACAAAATGGCAATACATTTAATACCAATTACAGAGCACAAAGGAGAACTTAATATGTTATAGAAAGATAGTTTATAAAGGTTCTCATTTTGAACTCACCATTAGGATTCATTTTGAAACCAAGGAAGGATGAGGATGAGGATGATAGACGTGAAATTAAATGAGCAGAATGCAGGCTTACCTTTTATAGTACCAATACATATATTCTGTTGAGTATCTGCTACTACTTTTTTTATTTATTTGTTCTATAATATTATTTCTATTTCTTTACTTTTTATCACTATCTATAAAACAATTGAGTGATGCTCTCTACTACCATTTTTCCACTGTGTAATTTTCTAGGCTCCTAGTAAATTAATTTTAAATATGAAATCCATTTCCTAATTATATTCTTAGTTTTCGCTAAATTCTATTGCAAAACTCGTACATATCTAATGTATTCATGCATTAAAAATTAAGAATATTAACATTCTATCTGTACAAGCATGCTGAGCAAAACAAAAGCGGAAGAAAAGAATAAGGGACAATGTCTTTTTCAGTTGTGTTAATCTTGGCATCGACAAATGATAAGGCTGAGTATCTTGCTGTTTCGTGTTCCTTCCAATGTTTCAGTCCTTTCAGCAATAAGATTAAGTGTCGAGATACACGTTCGACTCAAATTCCATATATTGGCATATAAATACATAATTAAGATAAGTTATGCACACGTTTGAGAATCCACATGTCTATGTTGCCAAAGTTTCAAATAATATATTTTGGTCCCTTTTTCTTATCCTTAAGAAACCAGAACTCAAAGTGTTGTGTTTATTAATTTGTTGCAGAGGTCCCCAAGAAAAATAAAATACAGATTATGAGGGGATTAGGTCAAGTTCATTGAGAAAAAAAAAAAAAATTAAACAAATCTAAATTCATGAAGATAATTTTTCTTTCTAAATTGGTTATAGTTTATAAAATTAATTATAACATATTATTATATAAAAATTTGTTTTTTTTTCTTCTAAAAATTATAATTAACTAAAGAATTTGTACACGAAATTCCTTCTCTAAAAATATGTGAAACATGAATTTATAAATTTTATCACACTAAGTTGAGAACAAATATCTCATTCTATAAAGCAAATATCATTAAATGAAACTCATATTAAATCCAAAAATTATGTCAACAAATCATATTAATAAAGAATAATAATAATTATTTCTACATAAATGGCTTTTTCGACACACCAATGTTACGAGCAGACACTTGTATTCACTTGCCACAGCATTTGATAACACCTCGTTATTAATATATATGTTGCATGTTAGTCTTGGAATATTAGCAATTTAAAAAATACAATCACTCTTTTTACTTTAAATGATACCTTCTCTTCCTAAATGCATAAAAATATTAAATAATATTTTTTAAAATAAACATTCATTTAAGTAAACTTTTCTTTTTAGAAAGTGTAAAAGTATTAATCAAAATAAAATATTATAATATTACTATGCTAACGTCGGTTTAATATCTGGAACTAAAGAAAGGAGAATATTTCTTTGGCATCTAAAAGTATACTATTTTATCTATAAAATAGATGCTTTGAATTTTTATTTAAACATTCTGAGTTGTGTTTTTTTTTTTTTTCACCACATACTTATTATTTTATCATAGATTTTAAATAAAAAATATCAGTAAAAAGTTTTAGAAATAAAATTTAAAAGAAATTATATTTATGTATTTAGCTCAATAATAAAATATAATATATTTAATTTCTTTACAAAAGGACTTCAAATAATATTGGAATCACATTTAAAAAAAAGGTAATGGTATAATAATAATAATAATAATAATAATAATAATAATAATAATAATAATAAATTATTAGTTTTTTTTTCTTTTTAACTCATTATATTTTTTACAAATTTATTATTTTTGTAATTTTTTTCTCCTCTTATATGTACATAAAAATTATATGTTATGTTATATTTTTATGGATTCAAGAAGAGGGAGAAAACATTTGAAAGGTGCAGCACTTCATAGAGAGCCAAAGGCAACAAAGTGGTAGCATAAACAGGGAGGAGTATTATCTTGGACTTTTCTTCAAGCACAAAGGACTGTGCAGCCCCAAAAGAAACAAGCATTGCAACAACGGATGCAAAAAGAGAACTTAAGCCGAAACTAAGCTTCAATGGCAAGCTAAAGCGGAAGTCTTGGGCCTGTTTTGAAGAAGTTAGTATGGCGAGGAACATTACAAGTGCAGTGATGGAGAAGACAAGTCCAATCAGGGAAGCAGTGGCAAATACATTAAATGCAGGATGGCCACCGAAGATAGGTTTTCCCTTGTCGGTGCCCCCGGGAACGGTGCTCGACGTTGCGAAGGAAACGCCGGCGATGAGAGCCGCCACAACTGAGCCAGAATTGGATAAGTCCTTTAGGTTCTCTGAGCACTCTTTCGCTTTATCCTTGTGTTTCGCCTCATAGATTTCCCATGCAGTCTTGTAATCTTTGTTGCGTATATAAATGAATTCTTCCGGCACAAGATCACTGATGTACTACTCCATGCATGATATCCAATACAACCAAGGGATCACTTAATTACAGTTTACATTGTTCATATTTTAATAATGATTAATTTTAATTACAAACACTCCCTTGAAAGAATTACTATCTATATGATGAAAGATATTGAAAAGCTTATAAATATACATACCTGATACCACTTGATATCCCACATCATTTGCATCACAGTAGCAAGTGACTTCCAAGTCGTTTCGTTGCTCGATGCACCTGCAGCTAAGTGTAGCACTGTGTTTTCTCTGTTATCCATTTCTGAAATTAAGCTACGAAAGACGTTCTTTTCAAGATTCTTCCGCAACAACTGAACAACATTTACTTGCTTATTCTTCGCTGCCACAAGCAATACATTTTGATTTTTAGAGTTAGTTTCATGTACGACACTTGGTATTTTAAATTGAAGTGCATGCACAATTTCCGTAATGCCGTTTCTTGCTGCTGTCAAAAATGCAGACTCCTTTTCCTCTTCTTTTGCTGCAGATTCCTTTGGTTGATTGAACACTGACAAGGCTATACACTCAACTATTCAATTAATTTCATCCTATGTTTTATAATTAAATTTAAATCATGTAACAACATAATTAACCAAAAGGATTTATTGCATACTTTTTGTTATGTTTTGAAGCTCTTTCACAAGGTCGACCATGCCAGCTCTTTCCATTATCACAAATGGTGTTTCCTCCTCCTCATTTTTTGCTGCAGATTCTTTTGTATTATTTTGTTGTTGATTCTGTTGTATCTGTTTTTTCTGTTTTATCTGTTGTTTGGTAACATCGTGTGGCACACTGTCGCCGTCAACGTCCATGAATGGTTGACCCCCAGTATACGACTCAAAAGGAGTTTTCATAAAAATATGCAAGAGCTGAATAGCCCATGTGTGCTTCTGCCTTGTCGACTTTATTGCTTTCAAGTCTTCAAAGTTATGCACATGCACAGACAAGAGCAATCATTTATCACTAATCCAACTAGGATTTGCTCAAAATCTATATTAATAAAAAAAAATAGGGTGATCTCTATATGAACGAAGGCACTACATAGTTGTAAAATAAAAGGTACTTAAAAACTTAGAATGTGTCCTAGTAACTTAGAATATATTCCACTAATCCAGAGGTGCTCCACTCTCCCATGTTTTCAGGTCATAATCACCCATGATGTTGAATGAGAAGATGAGTTTCTTACTCATATTACACCTATAAATAGACTATTCCAAACTCCTCCAAGAGACATAGTTTTAATGTTCCTCTTTTCTCTCCTTTTATCCTGGGTTTATTTTATTCCTTTAAGAATTTCTTGCTAGTTTTTGAGATCCTCAAAAATTTTGAGAAATTCCTGTTGTATCCTGCGAGACTTGCGCAATACACTGCGGATAAGTCCTTAAAAGAAGTGATTATACACGTCTCAGGAATAAAGTTTGTTTGTATCTCTGTCAGCTTTAGCAACAATGTTAAGGACTTATGACTGAGAGTACGAATATCAGCAACAACTCTATACTCTTCAACCGTTTTTACAATATTGGATGGTGAAAGAAAGAGAACATGCAAACAAACACTGACAAACAAAGAGAGAGGTTGGAGAACAAAGAGATTAAAAGAACACATTCTCATGGATCAATGTTAGTCTTCTTATTATGATATGATTCATGTTGATTCATGTATGTTATTATGTGATAATCAAGAATCTAAAGATCTTGAAGAGTAGCTTTCTAGAATGAATTAGGAACGTAGAAAAATTTCAAAGGTATTAGAGGCATAATTATTCGATTTATGATTTTCCTCTTATGATAGTTTTTTCAAATTAAAATAAACCCTAATTATGAATTTAGGGATTTCTCTATCAAATTAGAATGAACCCTAATTAATTCCCAAATTTGTTTTCCTATAATTGAATAAAGGAACAAATCTTAATTTATGTTTTGAACTGCAATCAATCTCAAATTGAAATCGATTTCATAGCCCTTGTGTGTGAATGACCCTATAATTCTTATTGAAATGTGAATGAGCTCGTAATTAATTTTAATTGAAAATGCAAATTACGTGATTGAGGTTAAAGGTGAATCATGTATGAAATTGGTTTCACTGCATGTTATAATGAAATAAAGGTAAACTTTTAGATCAAGTGCTATTAGCATGTATCATGCACCATGCGTACAGAGCACACATGCCAAACACATGTTCTTTTTTCGATTTATTACACCAATGCAACAGGAAAAATGAATTATGCGTGAGTATTATATATTGTGGGAGATTTTTTTTTGTAGTGAACAATTAGCAGAGTATTATATGTTGTGAGAGATTTTTTTGGTAGTGAACCATTAGCAGTTACGTGTGCATGACTTAGATCTATCTATTATTTCCTACATACATGTAGGATATTATTTTGTACATATGTGTAGGATATTATTTTGTCCACATATTATTTTGTACATACGTATAAGGGTTTGAGACTAAATGAAACCAATGGATTTAACCCCACCTTACCTTCAACAATAAAGGAAATTGCTTTGTTTGTGGAAAACCAAGTCAGCATACACCTCAGTGCAGACATAGAATAAGAAACGACAATCCTTCTAAGAAAAATTTGGCCAAAGGAGAATATATAATTATTGTGGTCGTTTTCCAAATAAACCTTGTAACAAATGTGAGTAATAGACTTTGGTACTACCAAACACATCTGTGCAGATAGAAGTGTTTTTACCTCCTACACTAGTGTGGAGATGAAGAAAAACATGTTTAACAGGACAACTTTTGTCCTAGGACAAGAAAAGGAAAGATTTGTTTAAAGCTCACATTTGGAAAGACTCTGGCCTTGAGTGATATGTTACATGTGCTATCAATCAGAGTTAGTAGCATTGTTTGGTGACATTTATTGATGACTACTCTATATATACATTAAAGTATACTTAATCAAACAGCTCTAGTGCACCTAATAACCTCTGGGAGAAGTTCTACTTACAACATGTTTTTTTCAAAGAAAAATGGTAAAACTCCCTATGAGTTATGGAGAGGTTATCAACCTAAAAGTGTGGGATGCCTAGCTAAGGTAATGTTACCCAATCCTAAGAAAAGGAAAACATGCTCTTAAACTTCTGATTGTATGTTCTTAGGCTATGCAGAAGATAGTGTTGTCTATAGGTTTCTTGTTCTCAAAAGTGATGTAATTGAGCATAATACTGTAATGGAGACAAAAAATGTTAAGTTCTTTGAACATATTTTTTCTCTAAAGGTTAATAAGACACCTAAACAATGTATATATATTAATAGTGATAACGAATATGAGGATTTGAGGAGAAATAAAAGACAGGAAAGAAAACTCCTTTGGAGATTATTTTTACACTTATCTAGTTGAAAGTGATCCAACATGTTTTTTAGAGGCTACTAGGGTTCCTGATGCAATACATTGGGATAAGGCCATTAAGACTGAAATTGATTCAATTAAGAAAAATAATACTTGGACTTGTAAGGGTGAAAAACCTATTGGTTGTAAGTGGATCTTTAAGAAAAAATATCATCCTGATGGATTCATTGATAAATATATATAAGGCAAGATTATTAACAAATGGTTTTACTAAAAAATCCAACATTGATTATTTTGACACCTTTGCCTCTGTGACTAGGATTTCCTTTATTCGAGTTTTGTTAGCTATTGCAGTTATCCATAAGTTGGTTATACACCAAAAGGATGTTTGGACAACCTTTTTGAATAGTAAATTAGAGGAGAAATTTATATGACTCAACCTGAAAGGTATGTTGTTCCTGGTCAAGAGAACAAAATGTGCAAACTTTTAAAATCTTTGTATGGATTAAAACAAGCACCAAAACAGTGACATGAAAAACTTGATAATCTTCTACTTTGTAATAGTTTTTCAATTAATGATGCTGATAGATGTGTGTACTCTAAATTGTCATTATATGTTTATATGTAGATGACGTGCTAATATTTGGTACATGTATGAACATTTTCTCTAGAACTAAGTTGTTTCTGAGATCTAAACTTGAAATGGAAGATATGGATGAAACCAATGTGATTTTGGGAGTTAAAGTCATAAGGAAGGGAGATAGTATTTTACTATCCCAACAACAATACATTGAGAAACTTCTTAGGAAGTTTGGACGTTATAACGTCAAACCAGTGAATACCCTTTACGACATTAACTCTAAGTTAAAGAAAAATAGAGGAGACTCAATCTCTCAACCTCAGTATGCTCAGGTAATTGGGAGCTTACTGCATTTAATGAGCTCTTCTAGATGTGACATTGCTTATGCGATAGGTAGACTGAGTAGGTACACTCAATGTCCTAATCAAGAACATTAGAATGCACTTGCAAGACTTATGAGATACTTAAGAGGTTCAATGGATTATGCCATTAAATATGGTGGATTTTCCACTGTACTACAAGGGTACAATGATGCTAACTGGATCTCTATTAAGTGGTAAAAGTTGATGTAATTATGCTCTTAATTATGATATAACCACTTAAATTATAGTGATTCTAATATATTTTTCTCCCAATGTAGGATGAATTTGCATAATACCTGGATACAAGAGCAAAAATCATAATTGTGAAGTAATTGAAGAAATTTGAAAGAAAGAAGAACGCTTGAGCGAATGAATAATGTGAGGCCCAACCCAAATTTTCCTATAAAAAGATAAGACGCGTTTTGAGATGTAATTTGAAGTTTGTGGAGAAGAGGTGCGACTGTTGTTCTATGATCTGACATAAATTTTGTCTTTTTTTTCTTGCTGTCCAGATATCATATTTCAATAGACAATAATTCAAACATACAATATAATACAAAGATAAAAGCTAATACAAAAACTAAGCTACGTAAATGTTAAAGTACATAATACAATACAAATTAGAAATGTTGAACGAAAAACCTTATTATTTTGTAATATCATGTCCTGATAGTGGAGATGGATGAATCTTGAAATACCCGAAACATTAGTTTGACTCCAGTTAACATGCAATAGACACAAAGGTAAATGAACTTAACAAATATTGAAAGTAATTACCTCTAGTTATACCCACATAAACTTTTGTGTATTACATGTGCTTAGGAGCATATTTTGGAAAAACTATTAGGAAAAATCCCCTTTGGGATTTGCCCCCTCTTTACGCCTTTTTCTCTTCATTTTCATATGTTGTGCGTCCAAATCCGACATCCAGTCAAAAGTTATCTTACTTCGAACATTTTTCGTTTTCTTTTCATCATAAAACCCTAATACACAAAACAACAACAACAAAAAAGTAGGATTCAAACGCATAGAACACTACAACAGTTCAATATCAATAACAATTCAGTGGAAACATTCAATTTCAACATAAAAGAGGAAACGAAACATATAGAACACTAACCTCAAATATATAAAAAATGTTGTAGAACTCGAATTCAATCGAAGAGAAATGTCAACCACCACAAACGGGACACAATGAAAGTATTTTCATCACTCACTATGGTCGAAATGTTCCTTGAGAGGAGCTAGTAATTGTCGTTGTCGTTGTCATTCTAAAAACCCTTGTTGCGCAAGACGAGAGAGTGATGCAAGAATAAAATAAAATGTGACTTTTACGTCGGACCTTTATGGGTCCGACGTAAAAGCTGGTCCATCTTTTAAGGTTGGACCCTATTGGGATGTAAAGACCTTTTCTACGTCACCTCTTTATGGGTCTCGATGTAAAGACCTTTTTTACATCATCCCTTTATGGTCCGATGTAAAAGTCCCCCCAATATTTACAAAATTTAACACCGCATTTTTTTTAAGTTGGTTATTTTTTTATCCGACGAGAATTAGCCGACGTAAAAT